TAAATGCAACTAACATAAAGTAGTTCGAAAAAAATCTGTTCTTTAATACATCTTTCTTTGTCTACTATCTGAGTTACTCGTTCGTTGCCGAGATTTTTTACAAATCGTTAGTAGACGGCGCACAAGCCGATTCAATGACAAGAGTTGCGTAAACAAACCCATTTGTAATCTGTAAAACCAATTTACTGCAGGAAAAAAAACTGAAACATGTTATTTGCCGGTTCTTGGTCGGTCCGTATGATGAAAAACTGTAACCTCGGGCTTGAAAATGCTGCCGCATTTTCAAGACCTCGGTCACAGTTTTTCACCATACGGACCGACCATAAGCCGGCAAATAACATATATATCTTGAAACAGAAACGCTTTCTACAGCTACAAAAAAATCACGCTTCCGTCTGCTAAATAATAATGGAAAGTTAAATTGAAATTTGCTGAGGCTGAAACTTATAGAGCACAAGCTTTTTTGGCACCTTCCGTTTCTAGAATTTTGGCAGTAATGCAAGCAGGATGGTAGAAAACTACCGAACAACTAGTTCATATTTTATTAAAATACTTGACTTTGGTCAAGGGCTGAGTAATAAATTCGAACAACTGACATTTTCTGACAAACATTTAGCGTAACATTATTGAAAAGCATTCGTATGCTTGAGTTTCACGTGATAGAACCCGTTTTGCAATTCGCAACTTTTAGTGTAAATTAAATATGAGGGCGAGCACTCTCGATCGGCAATACAAAATATCTCAAAGTACCCCATGACTATATCCACCCCCACCCTCCCTGCCCCCGCCAGAATTTTTCCCTTGTTCTAGCAACTAAACTTACAAAAAAAGGCAGAACGCTTTATTAAAATGAAATCTCGCAGAATTGTTCGGTCTATATGGTCTACGGATTTCGCGAAAGTCGTGGAATTTCGCATATTTTGGAATATTTTCGTGGAATCGCGAAAATCTTCACAGGCCAATAAAAAACAAGCTTATAACTGCCAGACTCTTGCCTCCGAAATTCTCCAACCAATCAAATACAGCAATATATCGCGTACAATCACATGACAACATGGTGGCTTCCTCCTGATGTACGGCTATTACGAGTGACTATATTTACACTTTCTACAGCTGATTATGGTACGTTCGATGTACTTTTTCAAAAACAATACTTTACAAACGATTGACAACAATATTCAGCGGGGCTGGGAGGCAATTTTTGATTGTTTTTTTTCTCTCTTTCGCAGGAATCGTCCGGGGAGAAGAAGGAGTTTCTCTTCAAAGTTTTGGTAATAGGAGACCTCGGTGTTGGAAAAACTAGCATCATTAAGCGCTATGTTCATCAATTTTTCTCTGTACACTACAGAGCTACAATATCCTTTCTTAAAAAAATTTCCAAATGTTGTCCAGTCAACGCTTGTCTTCTTTAGTTAGTTACAAGCTTGATGAGGTCAATTAGTTGTAGCTATTCGATGTCTACATATTTCTAGTTTTCCCTAGCATGATTTCGGCCGTTGTAGAAATTTTAATCACCCTATACAGAAACAGGCTTTCCCCCATCAATTTATTAACTCGATTAATGGTCGCACCTGACATGAAATCAAGCTCAAAGATGCCGCTGTTGTTATTTATTGTTTAACTTGTTGTTGTTGTTGACCTTGACTTTGAATACATTGGAGTTGATTTCGCGCTCAAGGTTATAAACTGGGACACTGATACACTTATTCGTTTACAGCTATGGGATATTGCAGGTAAACTTTTATCACATCCTTTTGTATGACTTTCATAAATGTCTACTTGATTAACACAGTGGAACCCCCAGAACCCCCATTGGCTGTAAAATGAGGTCAGATTTAGGGGGGGTTGGGGGTGGGTGTCGGTATTAAAGGGGTCCTCAAAAACGTAACATGACTCACTTGCGCCTAGTACCCCTCCTGGAGCATAGGTGGCCAACAAGAGTCCTCCAGTCCTCTCTGTCCTGGGTCTCTCTAGCTGACTCCTGTTCAGCCCTCATCTCCTAATGTCTGCTCCCAGGCCCCACTGCCATGTTTTTGTTGGCCATTCCTTCTTCCTCTTACCTTAGGGGTTCCAGCTTTCGGAGAGTGTGACCTTAACCCATCTCTAACGTCACTAAGGTTGCTTTCCATTTTATCAGGTTGACTAGTTTGACCAACTGTTGTAAAACAGAATCCTTACGATGTTTTCCAATCAAACAGGGTGAACTAAGAAGAATAGCTCTGACCATTTTGGGTTTGATAAGGGCAGAAAATGGGGGTTGTCTCCCCATTTCATGCACAAATTTCAACAAAATTCATGCATCACATATGCATTCAGCCACATTTACTTTCACGCATCACACGCTAATTTTAGCCCTCATCATGTGTCTTGCATAAACCCTTTGCCACCCTCTTTGACAGTGTGGCTTTGTGAGCAATGTTATAACATGGTTTGATTTTATTTCTTGGAAATAGGACAAGAAAGATTTGGGAACATGACACGAGTAAGTTTTGCCACAGTAATCTCTTATTCAAAAGACAGAAGTCAAGGTCTTGTTAAGAATGGTACAACCTGGCTGTATATGTAACAAATGTATAGCAACTCTTTGACACAAACTGTTTTGTGTATATTTATTCAATTAGACAACTTCTTTGCAATTGTGTATAGCACAAAAATATGGTAGGATTTTGAAACATGCTAGAAAACCCTATAACAATCATAGCTTCGTAGTCTATGATTACATGATTTCTGGTTTCTGCATGACAGGAGCCACCTGCTCACACTACAAAGGCCACATGCAACCAATTTTTACTGTCTAGGAGCAGCCCATCCAGTGACACCTAGCTTCTATAAGTATACTGTAGCTTAGGCTTGGAGACAATCTTCATTTTCCATTTTTTGCTGGTCAATTTTTCATTGGTCAATTTTTGATCACATGATGATCAAATTCAGCTAGGGAATTCCACATCTGGGAGTTTGAAGAGACAACTTTAACATAATGTAATTATTAAGAGGAAATGGTAACATAGTACATATAAAACATGCAGAATTAATTTAATTGGCAGGTTTATTATAAGGAGGCGGTTGGAGCTTTCATTGTGTTTGATGTCACAAGAGCGTCTACATTTGAAGCTGTGCAGAAATGGAAGAATGACTTGGATGGTAAAGTTATGCTTCCTAATGGAGCTCCAATTCCTGTTGTTCTATTAGCAAACAAGGTTTGTTGACTCTCAAAGTTCCACAGTAATGCTACAAGAAAGTTCTGCTCATTTAAGAATTTAAGAATTCCACAGAGTAGGATTCACTCACAGATGTAAGCATTATAACCACCGTGTACATCATAATGAAAAGCAAATACCACATGAAATACTGCTGAATAGCTGTTATTTAAATGGTTACACACAGGAATTTCATCTGCCGACTTAAAAGTTAGAACCACCACATGCAGCATAACAAACAGTACCACATGAAAGTACTACTCAATAGCTTTCATCTGAATTTGCCACTTGAGAAACAAGAAAAATCTAGGGTGATCTTTATCTTAATCGCTTCTGGGATTGTTACTGGTGACAATATAACTTTTTGTCTTTTGTTTCATCACCAGTAACACTCCCGCAAGCTACTGCAAGATGACACTTGACCCAGTTTTTTTCTTGTTTGTCAAGTCAAACTAGGATTTACACAGACTTGAAAGTTAGAACCACCTTGTACAGCATAATAAACAGTACCACATGAAAGTACTGCTCAATAGCTTTCATTTGAATGGTCACACACTAGGGTTTCATCCACAGACTTAAAAGTTAGAACCACCTTGTACAGCATAATAAACAGTACCACATGAAAGTACTGCTCAATAGCTTTCATTTGAATGGTCACACACTAGGGTTTTATCCACATAGGCAGTGAATAACAAATTACATCAGGTAACTCGACTTGTGTCTTGTGTCAGCAACTTTTACTAATGTGTCTGTTAGTAAGTTACCCATTTCTTTCACACAATAACCATTCAATGCTAGTACAAGGATCACTGCTGGACTAGATCATCATTTTGTAATTTTTCTTCTCGTTGAATCTCTCATGTGAGGCTAGAATGGAGCATGCAGAGACTGCCAGTATTCTGTTTACTCAGGGAATCTTTTCATATGTGTAGGAGATGTTCAGATAGATAGATTAATAATTTTATTTTAACATGATAAAAAATTTCAACATAAAAGGACAAAATTAAAGAAATAGAAGCTGCTTTACATGGACACCATGTAAAATTTCTATCAAAAACTTAAATGACATAGTTTAGTTTGAAAGTATTTAGGGATGATTATGCTTGTAGCAAATTGGATGCTAGGCTGTTTCACAGCTTGGCTTTGTGGTGCAACATCTTTCTCAAATAATCAGGGCAGGGTTATGGAAGTGTTGGCTTGTTTATGTCATCCCTTAATCGATAGGTCATCACAGGGTGTGTTTAAAACACAAAATGGCAAAATTATGAAATGATGGCACTATGATTAAGAGTCAATGTGGGATGCGGGTGTCTGTAAGGGTAACCCAAACTATCATAGAGAGCTAACTGCTGTCAGGTCAGTGATATTTTATAGGCTAACCGTAGTGCTTTTTCACCATTTCTTGTTTTAAACATGCCCGTCATCACGTTGTCAGGTAACACAAGAGAAGTTTGTTGTTGATCACAATATTTTCTTTTTTCCTGCAGTGCGATCAAGCCAAGGAGGGTCTAGTTAACAATGCAAGTCAAATGGATGAATATTGTTCAGACAAGGGGTTTAATACTTGGTTTGAGACATCAGCCAAAGAGGACATAAACATTTCTGAGGCAGCAAAATATCTTGTGGCAAAGGTACATGAGAATATTGATAAACCTCTGGGCTAACGTGCATGGTTTTCAGACCAGAGCACAGTTCTTTTAAAACTTGTGTTGTGTTCTTAGCCATGACACTGTAATCTTACTGTAGACCTTTAAAGGTGCTTCATCACAGTTTTCCATCTTGATATCCTGGGGGGGCGGGGGGAGGGGGAGAGTAGAAATACTCCTAGTCGCTTCATGCTACAGAAACTGGAATAAGCTCCTGCCTGATGGGTCACTTAGCTCACATGCAGACTTTACCTCTAATTTGTCAGTTTGTTTCTTGATTGATAGAAAGTGAATGTTTTTGATCTTTCTCCTTGCAGATTCTAGAGAATGAAAAGGCAAATAACTTTGACAGTATTCCAAAGGACCCTGACTCAATAACATTAACAAACAGTACATCAGTGACAAGCTCACAGGAATTTAAGAATATTCCTTCCGCTGAACCACACAAGACAGGCTGTTGTTAACCAAGTTTTTGCTACCTAGGGTGATCAAATTATTTTAATTTACCGTAAAACAATCTTGCAACTTATTGTGGAATCCCGATTTCTCAGATCTTCACTTGTTCAAACCTCATGATAACTTGAACCAAAACCTGTTTTACTTCCCTCAGTAGAACACTGCAAGTTTACTCCAGATTTCTCAAACTAGGTGATTTTTCAAACCAATTTTCATTTCCCTTGGAGGTTCAAAAATCGGGATTCCACAGTATTTTTAATTGTATTACAAGGGGATTGTTTGGAATTGATCATCTAGAAAGATTGCTGGCATTCTTAGAGTGTGGTCTAACTTTAATAATTATGATTGTTATTTTCGTAGTCTCATATTGGCTGCTTTTCGCGGTCCAGAAAGATTTGTTACAAACTTTATTCTGTCTTCATTCCTGGTCAAATCAGTCTTTGAGCATGTATACTTGGTCAATAAGTATGAGTTCCACTATTACATCATTTGACAATAAAATTATCATAGTGTTAAGATAGCACATAAAAAATTTATGAGAGCATGTTACACTGTAGTGTCTCACACATGTATTACACAGAGTATCCCACTGTGGAGCTAACTAGCAAGAATGTAAGAGAATTATTATAAACTCTAGTTTGACGGTTTTATAGTTACTGTAACAATGCGTCAATATTTACATGATTTCTCCCGTTATTTGTTGTTTGCCCCATATTGCCTCATTTCTGTAGGGCACAGAAAAACACTTTAGAATGCCCATGGTCCGTTTTTTCTATCAAGTTATGGAAACACGAGTGGAAGTTTGGCAGAGCAAGAAATGCTGTGGGAACATGAGCTGATAGGCTATTTTTTTAAGTTCTCCCAAACTTTCTCGAGTGATTCTGTGACTAGATAGAAACACAGAGAACATGTGTTCTATTTATTTGAGAAATCAACGCAATCAAAAAAGGAAAGAACTTGTTTACTTTGATCGTCAAAATGTAAATTCTCTTTACTTGTGCCATTATTACGTCAACAACTCCTGCTAGTTCTGTGTTTTTATCAAGTCATAGAAATACAGCTTTTAGTGTGCGCTTTCTTTCAGGGTGTTTTGTAAATCATTATGTAACACCATCAAAGTATGTGTATTTGGAGATTTTTATAAAACCAGGAGAATCAAAGTGAACTTGCACTTCTTGGATATTTATTTTCCAGGGATTACCTCGATTGTCTAGTTTAGGAAGGGGGGTAGGTGGGGGTAAGAACAAAAACCCTATGTGGGAGGGGTATGGATACTTTTGGGAATTACAGAATCTTTTATATGGAGTCTCAAGCTAGCATGGCCCATAGGGCTAAGATGTTTATTGGTCTATTTCTAAAGTTGTTGATTGATTATTTTGTAGAAAATATTGGACCAGTAATAAAACAATGTGGTTGATTGATTTGAGTTATTGGCCCTGCCAGCTGTCTTGGTCATGAAATAATGTTGTTTATTGTATTGCATGAAAGGTTAATAAGCAGTACTTTATCTTTGAAAAATGTGTGGAATGAATACTAATTTCCTGTCCCATGTCCACCTTGCTAATATTCATTTTCCTAACAGTTCTGAAAAATTACAATTATTTGCAGAACACTTCCAAGCAATCATGATTTTCTGCTCTAAGTAGAGTTAAAATTAAACTTTCCTAAACTAGTATCAAAAAGCGTATCAATAAAGTTTAATATAACTTACACACAATGTAAATCATGTGGATTTTAAGTAAGTTTCAAAATATACTCTTGTGCAGTAATTTTTGTCAATAAATGTCTTGAACTTTTAGTGTTTCATATAGCTGGACATTTTCAGTGTTCTTCTTTCTTTTTACTCACCCTGCAGGCTTAAAACATTTGCAAGATTCATAAACTCAAGCAGTTTAAGGCCTGGGTCAGGAATGTAAAATAGAATTATGGTTGGGCAGCTATATCTCTTGCTGTATTTGTTTCATCAAGCTGAAATTTTCCCTGATTATAAAACTTGCATACTACTACTCAGTTAGGCAGTTAGTCATGCTACTAGTGTTCGGGAGTAGTGAGAGAAGTGTAGAGCAAAAGACAAAGGTAACCCCATCTTTTTTCCCACTCCCTGTTCTTTGGGCTAATGCCATTCATACTGCACCGACTAGCAGAGCACATGGATAAGGTGGCCTCTGTCTGGCATCTTGTAACAGAAATTGTAGAGGAAAGAGTAAGTATGTATGTAAGTAAGTATGTAACTTGCACCCTTGTTGAGCATAAAACTCAAACAGGCTAACCTGAGTATTATCCAGGCTCGCCTGAGTGAATATTTACACTAACCAGAGTGATATGCAGACTGACTGGAGGGTTATATCACCTAACAAGAGCACTAATAAATTGCAGATAACCTACAGGGGTACCGGTAAGTGCTCATTTAGGCCATCAGAAGTAATGTTTATAATGCAGGTTAACTTAAGTCCTATCTAAGCTAACTGAAGTACTATTTAGGAGTCCTATTCAGCCTAACCAGCATGCAAATTTGAACAGTGAATCATTGACTCACGAGTCTAGACCTGTGACTGATAAAACAGGTGACCTCTTAGCTAAATCCACAGGTAGCATAATCAAAATAATGATCATGAAATTTATCATCGCAAGATCACTTGTGTTAGTTGACCCACAACTGAAACTATTAACCAGTGAGTAAAATGGCCTGAAAAAAGAGCGATTTCGTAGGACAGTTGGAATCAGTAGTACCAGAAGCATATCACCTAGACTTGGTGATATGCTTCTGGTAGGACTTGTAAGAGAAAGTGTAAACCATAAAGGAAGGGGGCGTCACGTCATTCCTGAACAAAGAAAAAAAAAAAACCAACATAATATTGAAATCTGGAATTCTTTATTCCAACATGCACAAAAATGTAACCTAGTCAATTAACACATCAAAGTTACAAAGAAAAATCTTAACTGAGGCACAAATTATATTTCAGTTCACACAACTTGTTCCACAACTGAAGGTCATTTACACAAGATTTAAGAATAAATTCTGTCAAGAATGCAGATAAACATCCCATGGTATGTTACTGATGGTCCCACATTTCTCGCTCTAGTTTTTCCTTCTTGATCTGATCGAGATAAGGTTGAAGGTACATGGTGTCCTAAATGAAATAGAAATAAAAGTAAAAATAATAAATAAAAGTTTGAAAAGTCTAGATGACATGGAAATATTCAAAGGGACTATAAAAATGACGACAATTTATGTCACAAGTGTAGAAGCTAATTCTTTTGCTTGTTAGCAGCTATTATTATCAGGAGTTTCATTACGGGCCAGGCACTGGGCAAATTGACTGTTGCAAGGGCAATTTTCTGGTTTGACCATCTACCAGAAAGGTTTTCTTGTAAAGAAGTTCAGTCCAAGTAGTTTTGCCCCACTGTAAAAACCAGTTGCCACACTGCCGAAAAGGTTAATGAAACCCCTGTATAATTTATTGTTTTGGGGCTTGGGGCATTATGTCTATGGTTTGTTCAGATGTCCTCTCAAAGGGTATCAAGCTACTCAAGTGAGTCATTGGGGAGCTTGCTACCCAATACATTTACAAAGTTGATTTTTGAAAAAGTCTATATCTAATGGCTTCTAAAAAGTGTCTCAAACAAATCAGTAGTGAGAGAATTACTTTCTGTTGTTCAATTCCACAGATAGGGTCTAATAAACACAGTCTACGTGTATCTCTAAAAGTTTAATCATTTGTTTTGTATGGGTTTACATGAGAGACGGGTTTCAATAAGGTTTTCAGCAGGAGGACAACTGGTTTTCANATTTTCAGAACTTCACAGTTAACTTCACAGTTTACTATACAGGAGTTTCATTAACGTTTTCACCAGGGGGGAGGGGTCAACTGGTTTTCACAGGGGGGCAAAACGTTTTGAACTGAACTTCCTAATACAAAAAACTTTATCAAGATGGCCAAACCAGGCAGGCAAATTCATCCTCATAGCCAGTCAATGCCACCTCACAGACCCTACAAAACACCTGGTTATTTCATACTGACACTCTGAAGTCAGTATGGGAGAATCTTTGTTTACAATATTTGCCTCGTAAGCATAGGAATAAGCGATACAGTTTTTTTTTTAAGGAACTACAAAAACATTAGTTCTGAATATTGAAAGGGCACAGCACGATTAACTGTCCCAAGGAGTCTGAGTCCCATGTACTGAATACTTTTCATGCGATGCGGGTTAAAAACTCAAAATCTTACAAACAGTCCATGAGCTCATTAGTGCTCTTGCCACCCAGAAATTTTGCAGTTTTTGAAAGCCAATTTCTCTTCAAATATTACACCCAAAAAGCCAAAAATTTCACCAGGTACTAAGTTTCACAAGCTCTTTAAATGTTTGTAGTCAATTTGTGTCTAGTGTGATCAATGCCTTCTCTGCACAAAGTCGTATGTTAATGAGGAAAAATGTAAACAATGATGTCAGAAGACTCTCCTATAAATTATCATTCACAAGGCCAAAAATCATTGTGAAGTTTCACCTCTTCTTTTGTTGTCCACTGATCTTTTGGCAGAATTTGATGCTTCATTGACAAATCAAGTGCTCTCTTCACACGAAACTGTCTGAGATTGAACTCTTCAGAAGGAAGACGCTTTATGGCCTCAATCACATCAGGATCATCCTCATTTAACAGATCACCTCTACGAAGACCTGAAAAATAACATTGAATGCAAAAACATTAGTGAGAAATGCAATGAAGTAGAAGGCAATGATTACATTTATCATCTGACACATCACAGAATTTTGACACAAGATTCAAGATTCAGCTACTCTGTGAAAATCAGGGCTGGTAATGCTAATGGTAAGTTTATTTATACACAGTAAATCCTTCGGCAAAGATTATAAGGGTCGTCACCAAGGGTTGTAACCCGTAACACCTGTTATGGCCGAGTATACTTGATAAGCCCTTGTTGTTGTGAGTGAAATTGCCCTTTGTTGATACAATTTTGTCCACAAAGTAACAAGCTTGTTACAGGTGTGAAGATTAAGGCTACAGGTAACTCAAAACTTAATGACAGCCCTGAAAATATGTGACTGATAAGGATTAATAAAAGAAATCATTTGTCAAATATAAGTATTTGTACTTCGTTGAATTGTATTTTAACAGTTTTTTAACTACAACGGTGTCAGGTCAAGATTACATAAGCTCATAATATAATTGGATATTGCGCGTTGGGAAAGTTACATGTAATTAATGTGTTCCACAATGTAGAAAAAGCATTTCAACAAACCATGTTTTCCCTTGGGAGATTAATAACAGAGAAAACACATCTAATAAATATGATCTTGATGATATTATTATTGTCATTACCATCAAAGACCTAAATTATGCTAGCTGAAATTACGTAAATAATACCCTAAAAGTCGACTAGTCTTGAGCCCGAGAAAAGAGATCAAAGACGAAGGTTTTTAATAAAACCGATCGATCTTCTAACAGAAAAACTTACCAAGTTGTCTGTAACCACAGGCATTGATGTACCAGTCGTGGAATGCATTCCAAACCTTTCTCGTGAAGGACAACTGCCTTCCCACTTTTGGAGCGACAGACGCCATCTTGAATATTGCACGTGTATCCCATAGTAATTTCGCTGAAATCGTGATGTGTTCGGATAAACTCGGAAATTGTTCGGCTTTTTCCGGACTCACTCATGCGAATCAGCCGGCCAATCAAAGGACGCCTTGCACTTCTTAGCTTCTCACAAGAAAATTGTGCAAAATCAAAACATGGCGCGAGACGTATGTTGATTCTCAGCGTTTCCTTGACCAAGCCCGCATGCATTTATTGAAATAACCACAGCAGTGCTGACCTTATGAATCCCTCCAGGAATGAGTGCAAAGATGAGACCTCGAAGACGTCAGACTTTTGGGAATATCATGGCCTCGCGAGAGATGGGATAAATCTGCTCTTAAACAATGGCTTTGAAGAATCACAAAAGCTTTTTCGAAGTCACAGGTATAATTCACCCTAAATGTGTGTTGTTAACTGCGTTTTGTTTCTCAGTAATCCGTTTGTGTTGTCTAATTTGTAATAAATACACACGTACTGGCTAACTCCTTGTGCACGAAGTATGTTTTGTTTATTTCGACTGCCGTCTGCATGCAGCTCTAGATATTTTACGCGTAAGAACCGGTGTTTTTATGCATACTATTCAATTCTGGGTGTTTCTTAAACACTTTCTATGCCGCACTTGATGGGCTAGATTTTTTAAACTTCGGTTTAAAACCCTTTTGGGAGGGCAAATTACTATCGGAGTGAAAATTTGATCGCAATAGTTTAGTTTTCCGGAAAACCTCAGCTTGTGAATTAACGTGCCGCCATCCCCAAGCTTTATTGGGTACATGTACTTTGAAGAAGGGGAGGATTTCATGAGCGAATACAACCTTAAAAGCTACGACGTTAAACACGGAAGGGACCTGCTTATCTAGAATCTTGATATTCAGAGACAAAACATTTAACAGCGGGAAATTTTGGTATCGTGTTTTGCAACCTCATCTTGAAATGGAATCGCCAAGAAGTAGTTTTCGCAATAGTGCATAAAAAATTCATGAATTAGCATTTATTTTCATGCCTACGCGTCGCTTACACGCAAAAAGATAACATCTGAACTGCCTAAAGCTTAGTACTATTAAATCTTTTGCACATAAATTTACAAATATTTCAAGGATTCAACGTTTGGTAAATATCTTCAGCGAAATTTAAAGTAATTTTATTTGGTTAAAACGGTGTGAAATTTTTAAGTCGATTAAATTCAAGGAAAGCAAATTAAATGATGAGAGTTTGCATAGATTATAGAGTAATCACAAAAAAACGTTTCCAAGAAAATTGTCTCCCTACATTTACTGTTTTAGTCATGAAGCATCTGATAACAATAAAATGATTTAAACAAGTAGATTATTTATTAATCCATGCAGTTCGTAGATACAGTAGTTTGTTTTTGCTCTGCCTAATGCCAAAACATTTTGCAAGATAAGGTCTTCATTGACAATGTGATTTTCTTTGGACTAGGATGATTAGGAACAAATCTTGCATCAATTTACATGAACCTTCTGTTTGGATGTTTGCAAAAGCAACGTTTTGTAATGTTTTCTACCTGTGTGAGTGTTTAAGGGGAAGTTGAAAGTTCCACCTATATTATTGAATGTAACCATAAAAGCTCCAAGTAATCAAAGATTAATTTTGGGATTATATTCTGGTCAGATTTGCAAAAAAAGTGAGAACAAGAAATAAAATAAATATCTTCCTTCAGTTAATACTTACCAATGAGAATTTCTCTGAAATTTCATTTCTTAGGACATAATTATTTAATACATTCATCAGTTAAGAAGTTGAAAACACGGTCAACAGGTTTTGAAAGACCTTTCAGGTCCCTTATTTGCCCTTAATCACTAAAATTAGCTGATGTTTGCTTTGTTTAACATAATAATGTCAACTAGATTGATTTTCATTTACAAAACCATAGTTGGTATTTTTGTCATTTAAATTCTTTTGTCACTAATACAAACATTTTTATTAATTTTATTGAAGAAATAAACTATTGTGAAACTCTTGCTAAAAGAATTGTTAAAAACGTCCTTGTAAGAAATCATGTCTGAAGTGACCTTTTAGTAAATTTCACTTTTTTCCTGAATTTTATGGTAATTTTTTAAGTCTGTCAGGATGAGAAGAACCATATGGCTTATCATTCCTACAGTATGTTAACAGTGAAATGACGTGAAGTTTTCATACTCAACAATCCTTCATAATTGTCCCTGGCTATAGTTTACATTAAAAACAATTTGTACAATTATTTGGTAATGTAGTTACAACTAAGGAAATTGAAGAGTTTCAAGGATTTGGTTGCACGCAAGAGTTAGTTGTTTGGGAGGTTTGGCTGTGTTGTTTTAGAAAAAGTGTCACAGTGATAAATATCATTTAATATCTTTCAGAAGAAATGTTGAATGTTCAACAAACATCAACCTTTTTTTCATTGTTTTTACCATGGATTCTGTTTCTAGAATTGTTTTTAATCCAGTATAATATGAAATAAATGTTGTTTTTTTGCTGTTGTTAGTGATGGCTCTCCACTTATGAGTGCTGGGTCTGGAATGGTTGACTTTGTGGTAAGTGAGACTGTAATTTGCTCCAAGCAGGGATTTCATTAATGTTTTCACCAGGAGGGCAAGTGGTTTTCACAGGAAGGCAAAAGTTTCTGAACTGAACTTCTTTATAAATAACAAAAACTTTCCTCAAGATGGTCATGATCAAACCAGGCAGACCAAATCACCCTCACAGCTGGTCAATTTGCCTAGTGTGCGACCCTTAATGAAACCCCTGGCTCCAACTTGTTATCTCTACATAGCTGTATTAATATACAGAATACATAATCAATCCTCAAGCTTACAGTGCTGCCTTACTAGAGGTCTAGGTGCACAGAGCTCTAACTGCCTTTTCAGAAGATCTATTTCTTCATGTAAATATTGCATTACTCCCTGAGTATTTTAATGTAATAAATAATTTATGTCCCTACAACATTTTTTGTCCACCAGCAAGCCATTCTTACATTTGAAGATGACCAACTGGACAGAGCTCTTGAAAACCTCAAGAGAGCACAGAGAGTTTGCTATGTGGAAAATGCTCGGAAGGGTGCAGCGCTGGGGCTGGACGAGATGCTGATGAGGCAGATTTTGTATGCTGACTGTGAGCTTTACATGGCTCTTCTGACATTCCTCAAACAAGGTACAATTAGTGTGTGCTGCTAAGGGCCTCTTCATATGAGCTAGGTAAACCGGACTGGCTCAGTTTTCCAGAAGTCACCTTGCCTCTCTTTCCTTTGAAAAATTTCAATGTGTTCATATGAGAAGCCGAGTTGGCCCAGTCACCGAGATCTTGGTTTGTGTAACAGAGATCTCTGTAACCCGGATGAAAACTTTCCTATACAGGGCTCGAAATTGCGACTCACTGGTCGCCAATGCGACCAAAAATTGAGCACTGGTGACTAAATTTTCAGAACTGGTCGCCAGCTGGCGACTCGCNGTTTTGTCCGATAACTAAAGAAAACCACGACACAACTTTTGTTTTTAAACCTTTATATTAGGAAATCAATCGGATACGGTAGCTAGTATACAACTCACCTTTGCGTTCCCAGTAAAATAATATCTGAATATTACAAGATAATTGGAAAAATTGAATGTATTTTGACACGTCGATACTGTGTTCATGGCGCACCATATTGTTTCATCGGCTTCTTCCGAAACTGGGATCGCAGGCGCACTTCAAAACCATGTGCTTTTCATTTGCCACGAAAATGGCAGCAGATGCCAATCAGTTGAAGGAATTACGTGAGTTTTTACGTGAGGGGAATGAAGATTCAGCCAAAAGGTTAATCCAAACTTTGAATCCTTCGAGGAAAGCAAGTCAAAAATAAAGAACGGCATTTCGAAGAAGTAGCAAAGGGAAAATACGCAAGGACCYGTGTTTGTCTCACAATGAAAACCACGGACTTAAAACGTTTTATGCTTTGCTTCATTTAAAAATAAAATGACTATGGAGACAACCATCACCTTCGGACTAGAGACATATCAACTGAGAACAACGGTAGCTTTATAACTAAGTGTTACTCTTGTTGTTTCTAATTGTTTTCGTTCTTCAATTGTGACTTTTCTTGCATGTAAAGTAACATATAAAATCGTGTTCTTGTGTAAGTTATTTATAAAATAAGTTGGCGACCAAAATTTACAATCTGGTGGCGAAAATTTTTCCGTTAGTCGCCAGCTGGCTCCTGAATGAAAAAGTTAATTTCGAGCCCTGCTATATGAACACTCAAGCCTGGGTGACCGAGACAAAATGTTTTTGACAAAATAGCTTCGCTTTTGAGACATGTAGTGGTCAGAATGGCATAATTTTTGTCTTTCCACTTCAGAAGTATGTGAATTACCTTTCTTAGTTAGGTTACTAGAGTTTCAAAGCTACGATAGTCGTGAATGATACAAGTTTAAGAGGCAACATTTTGGCTTTGTTTCTTGGATTTCCTCCCAGTTGACCAGGCTGAAATCTCTTATGCAGTATTCCTTAATTTGTCCTGGTAACTGAGCCAGCCTGGTTACCAGGCTCAAAAGAAGAGGACCTAAGGATTTCAAGTGATAGTATTATGTTAGGTATTTTTTTTCATGAAATGTTCAGTTCCAGAAAATATCCATACTCCCCCCACAGAAGGGATTGGAATTTCCTGGGGGGTGGGGGTTCTGTAAGACCAAAAAATTTAAAGAAATGTATGAAGCTCAATCGGAATTTTCAGAGGGGTGGGGGAGGTATGGATATTTTCTGGAACTACATTCAATCAGCCCTACCATTCAGTCCTACCATTCAGCCCTACCATTCAGTCAATAATTAACTTATTGCTGAAGTGATAAGTAACTCGCTACTTAATTGCAGGCATCACAGATTACATCAAAGGTGGATATCTGATGCGAAGGGCATGGAAACTGTATGACAAATGTTACTGTGAAATAAGTGCCATCGGTGGACCATTCTTAGAATGGGCCCCTGAACTGCGATGTGACAAGAATGGAACTTTGGAGTCTGATCTGGATGATGTTGAGGAAGCGCTTGATGAGGTATTTTGTAATTAATATCCAAAGGCTGGTACATTCTTCAAACACTTGGGTCCGTCTCTGGCTACAACTTCCACTTCTCTTTGTTTTGTCCTCTACTTGCAGTCTGAAGGAACAGGCGTTGTCTCACCCCTGGACCCAGAGGATGTGGTATCCCCATTAGATGGTCTTACCATTCATGAGGAGACAGGCAGCAAACTTTCACCTGGGGTAGTCAGCCCTGAGGCACTGAAGCACCTTCAGTCTGCTGTATCATGCGGCTATGGTCTGTTTCATTTGGCTATCTCACTAGTGCCGCCCAAGCTGCTAAAATTCTGCCATCTTCTTGGTTTCTTGGGAAACAGAGATGTTGGAATTCAGGCGTTGAACTTAGCTAGTCAGAGTGAAGACATGAAAGCACCTGTGGCAAGGTTGGTTTGACATTAAGTGATGCCGATGAAAGATCTTACTGAACTTACAGTTATCTTTGCTCCATATAACTACATGTATTTTGGGTGGAATTTTACTTCCTAGGGTCATTTAGACATACACAGAATGTGTAAAAGAGATACAACTGTTAGTACTGTTTTCAGCCGACGTGAAATTCAGTTAGCATATGTTACAAGATTTTGCGGTGGTAGGCGTGATGGCCTAATGGTTAGTGCTCTGGACTCTGGATCCTGGTTCGAGCCCTGGCCAGGGTCATTGCATTGTGTTCTTGGGCAAGGTGTTCATGTATGTATAAATAGGTAGCGCCAAATGTAACACTGAGGGTAACAAAACTAGCATCCCATCCAGGGGGGAGTGGAAATACTTCTAGTTGCTTCATGCTACAAAACCCAGAGGTAAGCACAAGCCTGGCAGGCCACTGGGCTTGAACTTAGACTTTTGTTTACCATGTTACAAGTTTCATGGACATTTGTTTAATTTCAGGCTCACCTTGCTCTGGTATCATGCTGTTATTCGACCCTTTGTTGCTCTTGATGAGGGCAGCAATGAGGAAGGTATGTCTTGTTCTTAAATATGCCGTCTCATATCTGTATCTGTAAAAGGACTACGACTAACTTGTTAAACTGTTTTACCATCTGGAATAAAATACCTGTAGGTAACCATATGAATGAATGTGTTTCAAAAGTTAATGAGTTTTAAGGAGAGTGCACTTTCAAGGAATTTTCAAATATTACGCTTTAGTGTACATGTAGATCCTTAATTACCCAAGCTTTCATGTGATTACTTGTTTATAATATTTTTGAGAAAATTACAAATGTGAGTGTGTTCATTTGCACTGCAGTGCAAATTAAAAATTAATGATAAATTGGCCTGCTGTCAGCCAATCACAATGAAGTATTTTTCTTAACCATATAATACTGAGAGTTATTTATGATCTCCTGAGTGGATTCAGATGATAAATTGTTGCTGTTTGGATCTTATTTTCTTTAAAACAATCAATGTGTTTTCAACTGGCTCACAGGTCTGGCCAATGCAACCGCTATCTTGGAAGAATCTTACCAAGAATACCCAAACTCTGCTGTATTTCTCTTCTTCAGAGGGCTTGTATCGAGACTCAAGGTAGGTAGTTTAAGTTAACAGAGCAATCTGTTACTCAAAAGAAACGATATGTGACCATTAATGAAAAGAAGATTCATGGTTGCAAGCGTACTTGAGTTAACTTCATCTGGCTGTTTAAGTGTCTATGTGGCCAACAGGATTTTTGTGGTTTTGGTATCTCTATAAAAAGTACTCTAACAGAAACTGATAAAGAGAAAGATATTGATCAACAGGTTTGTGTGAGTGCATAAGGGTCTTTGAGATCATGTAAGGAATTTTGTGGCCCAGAGTCTCATTTTGGTTGGTCTAGTAGTAAGAATGGTTCAATACTCTGTTTTATTATTCAGGGTCATATTGGAGAGGCTTTGGATGAATTTCACCAAGCCATGCGCTCTGCAGCTGAACAACAGGAAATAGCTCTTATTTGTCAATATGAAATAGGTGAGTGGTGGTTGGAAGTATTTTTTAGTTTCATTTTTTTGTCTCAGTGCTTTTTTGCAAACAATTTTGGGAACTGTAAAGCATTTGAGATGTTTTGCTGTACTTATGATTGGTTCAACACTACGTATAGTGTGCTCTGACCAATTAGAATAAAGTTGTCGTCTTTTCAACCAACCGTTTGCAAACACAAAATTGATTGTGACCTCAGCTGCGTTTGTCACCTGAATCACGCCTTTTGTCGCTTTTCCGGCATTTTGTCATATTTCCTGCGCTTTGTCAATTTTTCCGCGCTATGTCACTTTTCCCACGCTTTGTCACTCTTCCTGCGGTTTGACAATTTTCCCACGCTTTGTAAATTTTCCCGCACTTTCTCACTTTTTCCGCACTTTGTCACTCTTCCTGCCCTTTGTCACTTTTCCCGCACTTTATCACTTCTCCCGCGCTTCGTCACTCTTCCCGCGCTTTGTCACTTTTCCCGTGTTTTGTCACTTTTCCCGCGCTTTGTAACTCTTCCCGCGCTTTGCCACTCTTCTCGCGCTTTCCGCTGGTTCCATGTGTTCTGATGCTTTACAGCGATTACAAGGATCGGTGATGACAGATAGAGAAAGTTGTCTTATATAGTCTCATACAGTATTTGGTCTCTTAGGTTGGTGTCATATGTTAAGACTTGAGTGGGAATACGCTCTGCCAGCATTTCTAAGGTATGTTTCGATATTATGTTTTTGAAAAGCTTTGCTTTCTTTCATATACACGAAGAGGACAAAGATCTATCTCACGCAATTATAAACTTAGTTTTTCTCCTTATACGTGTGGACGAAAGTAGAAAACATAAATAGTTTCTTAAATGTCTATACTCGCCCAATCTATTTTGAGTGCCTTAACTCGTTATTTACACCATTCCTTTTGCTATTTTCAGGCTCAAAGAAGAATCCAAGTGGTCGCAAAGTTATTACGCTTATCTCTGTGGAGGTAAGATAAAGCGTTATACGCGAAATCATGTAACACTCAAACGGAGGTACTAAAGACCGAGCGGTGTTTTGACTGTGCCATATAGTTTTTTTAGATCCTATTTATCCAAGCCATATTACTTTATACCAATTCTTTCTTTGTCCCATCATTTCCCTAATACCTCTCTTGTTTTCTTTCCGCACTTCTCTATGAATCCATGTTTCCTTCCATCGCATAACTCGACCAGTGTCTTATTTCGCTCCAACCCCTTTTTCCTCTGACTGTCTTCCCCACTAACCTTGATTCACACTTTGTAACAGCAAGCCCCTTGTCGAGTTCTCTTTCGCGGACAGACAATTCAACCTCATCAGAGATGGGAATGGATTCTCTCTGACCGGAACGATCCAGTCCATAGCTGATCTTAAAAAGGAGAACAAACCAATGATTGCTATTTCAATGGTATCAGACAGTAACACCGTTCCTGCGGTGGTTCTCCAAACGCGTATTTACTAGGTTTTTGTAGCGCAATCACATCGCTTTCCCGTGACAGCTTTTCAGTTAGGTTTGCTGTAATTGGACACCCAAGCCACGTGCGCGTCAATTACATGCACTTAAATGGGTTCTCTTTTGTTGTTTCTGATGGAATAGTTTACCGCCCTCTTTGCTGACTACGCGTCGTGTTATTGATGTGATTGATTGGTAATTGGTGAATTGGACAGCCCTCGTTTACTCTTGAATTTTGCACCATTTACTTCAATTGCTGCTACAGATTATTGTCTTTTGACGCTACTGTTGCTGTCTTCTTGTCCAGTCACTATAGGAATTTTAGGAAGCACAACAGAGGCTCAAGCGCAATTTAAATTAGTCCCTAAATTTGTCAAGAAGAAAACGCCTCTGGAGCAGTTTATTGTTAGGAAGGTGAGCTTTCTGTAATAAATAAACATGCTGTTTTTCAGTTGGTGCAGTTTTTTCATGATTACAGTACTGTTGCAAACGAAAGGAATCACAGCCAATCACACCGGAGGTGACGGCGTAACAGACCAATCAAAACTGTGGAAAAGCGCGGGAAAAGTCACGTGAATCGAGTGGCAGGGAAAGGTACACTGGTAGCTGTGACATCTGATTGGCTGTGTGAATGACGTCTTCATTTTGATTGGTTGTTGGTAAAGACGTGTTGGGCTGGTTGCCAAGCCTTGATTTGTAACACGTCATAGACTAAAAAAAAATAAGCGAGTTGTATAACTTATTAACCGAGATTCTGAGTTTAATGATTTAATCACGTCATTGTAAAAGCGCCTCAATGTGTTTTTGTTTTTGTTTGTGTTTTACTCTAAGGCTGCTATGTACAAGAAATCTCCTCCGTCAGAAGCTGACTGTCTGTTACTTGCATTAGAGCTCCTGTATGTCTGGAGAGCGCTCTACACGTGCAGCGAAACTGTCTTAAATAGGATTCTTTCTGGTAAGTCTTTCCTTTGTTCAGCCCACTATATCCTCTGGTCACTCAGTGTTACGTGACGCAAGTTGAGTTTCGTCACGTATTCGGTGTCTCAGCAGAAATGCTACGCGTTGAAATGGCTTCAAACTTGGTAGGAAGTTCAGGGAGACTGTTACGGCGATGTGAAATATCGCTAATTTTAGGTTTTGGTTGGCAGCAAAATGCCTCCGCATGAGCACGAGATACATATCGGTACATTTTAAAATCGCTCTGCAAAACAGCGTGAAGTGACCAAATTCTGGGTTGTTGTGGATTTAAAACACGCGAACCATGACGGTGAATTTTCCACTTACATTTTAGTTTCATGAGAACTTGGGTACTTACCATTTACATGGGAAAACCGGAAATTCCAGTTGGAAAATAAAATGGTTCGCGCCATTCCGTTTGGGAAGCTTCAGAAAATATGGGCTGTGATTTGTGTTGATGCTATTTTTCTGCTCTTTTAAGTCTCTCTAGCTGATGCGGATATACTTTATAGCGATTCCCTCTCCCGCAATGTTCAATTTAATTGTTTCATGTTTATGCCTGAAATTTCCAACCGGATGGTTTTTGTAAATGGTAAGCACCCCTTGTCTCCTTCGCGTACAATAGTGATAACGTAGCTTCACAGTTTGATTGGTTGCTATTTACGCGCGAAAATTCGAGAGCCAATCAGAGGCGGATCACGAAAGAGCTACGTCACCTGAATGGAATGTTTCTGGTTAAGCGCGCGAAAGGAAGCGCCTGTCAACTCCAATTACACGAAACAACGTGAAATTTGCTTAATTTATTTTATTTTTTCTGTAGCGCTAGAGGCCAGTGAAGTCAGTTTGAATCTGATTCCTCTCAAGTGTCTTATTCAAGGGTCAGCTTGTCGAGTCCTCAAGAAAACTGACATGGCTGTCAAGGTAGGTGCAACTTAGAATGATAGATGTACGTTTTTTTAATGTTACGATTGAAAATTGAAGCGAAATTTTAAGACCGTTCAAACTTGCTCTCTAGTTGAGCGGCAACTGTATGGCTGACAGCGGCTGTATAAACCAACTTGGTTCGAAAAAAGCCATTTAAGTGCGATTGTGTTTGTTTGATTGGCAGCATTTCCAGGATGCCGCGGTCAAATCTGGCCGCAGTCCCCCAGACCCTCACGTGCCTCCGTTCGCTACTTATGAACTTGGTGTTCTTTATGCACAGGATGAAAAGGTAAGCAAAGTGCTTTTGAATTTTAGGCTATTACATATCCTCAAATGAAACCATGCTCATAGAAAAACACGTTTTGAACTTTCAGATGAGCGCGAAAGGGGAAGAACTACTAAAACGAGTCAAGGTAAGTAAAACTCTTTTTCATGCAGACTTTACGCTTAATGTCATTATCCACGTAGTCTTCTGGCAGCCGGTTTTTTTCTCTTAGGGTCACTTAGACGAGTGTTTAGTCATCGCAAACGCAAAAGGGCAGTATGGCGGTTGCCGAGTAGGGAAGAAGGCGCCCATGTCTCGTCCCATTCCCCTTTACGCTAAAGCGTCATTCCTCATAACCTCTGCTGAATTTCGAGAGATAAACAGACTGCCAGCAGTCTATTATCCACGGGACAGTCAGTCCACCCTAGACTTGCCACAAGTCAACCTTTGCGTTAAGAAATTTTTAAGTGTCCGAAATATTTACAATACAGAATTTAACTCTGAAGCAGCTCCAAAACTCTTAGTTTCCTTTATGGAGCGAACCCTAGTTGAGACAACACATGAGATACGTAACGGCTTGATAAAATTCGTTTTCTTTTCTCGTCGGTGCATCTGTAAAACCTTGAGGATGCAGTATAACTATCATTTTCGCAGATTTTATTTCAGTCTAAATCGTGTTTGGTGACTTAAATGTACTTCAGCTATGTTTCAGTGAAGTGTCCGAAATTTGTCCGAAATGAGATAAAAAGTGTCTGATAATTAAACGTCCGAAATTTTTTTGCAAGCAATGTAGTCTGAAATGTCAGTTTTCTCGCGCCCTCAGCATTACCCCCGGGGTAGGAGAAACCCGGGGCGGGAGATGACCGACATTTCAGGCTAGTTTATACAATAACCAATCTAATTTTAATGTTTTTTTTTTCTTCCGATCTGTCCTTTTTTACAACAGGATACCTTTAGCGGGTATGACTTTGAGAACAGGTTAAGTTTCCGCGTCCATGCGGCACTTGCAAGACTAGAGGAACGAAAAGCCAGCCAAGAACAACCGAACACCTCGAGATAGAGAACGTGGGTCGCTTAAACACCGACAATTAGTGGCAATACACCATTTTTTAGTCATCTCTTTTATTAGAAACGTCACGCTCTTAAGTGTGACCTGGCATCCTGGAAGCCATGTCACAGTTTCTTCGAGGTGTTGCGTGACTGGTAGAGAACCGGAAATTGGTTGGAAAAATCCAGGCTTAATAATACTCGGGATTTCACTGTTATTAGCGTGATAAGTTGACAGCACCGGCACCAAGGTTAGGAAAACAAGGCGAGAGTAATAAATTACTATTCTTTTCGAAAAGAGCTCATTTTTTACAGTGTAAAATATTTTAAGTCGTGTGACAGGAATCGAACCACGAGACTCTTCAGTCACGCTGTTAAATGTCCCTGATAGCTTTTTATCACACCTGCATGCTTGTTTCTTCCAAACGGTAATATTTATTAGGTGTTGGTTAGTTTCAGTTCATTTGTCTCTACTTTCGAATAGTGCCAAAAATCAAATTCAGAATTTCACAAGTGCAAATTGTTATGTAGCTTATGAAAGTACTGCCCAGTAGTTTTCATTTGAATGGTCACACACTAGGGTTTCATCAACAGGCTTAAAAATTAGGACCACCTTGTGCAGCATAAAATACAGCACCACACGAAAGTACTGCTCAGAAGCTTTCATTTGAATGGTCACACAGGTTTCATCCACAGACTTAATAAGTTAGAACCACCTTGTACAGCCTGCGAGCAGGCTCACCTTTGAGTCACACGCGCGAACGGTGAAGAGCAAAGCGATCCGGCGGGAAGGAGTCTATTGAAGAGGCGCCGCTCAATTTCGCGCTTGCTGCTACGCCGCGCGCGCTTGTACTCCAACGTGAGCCTGCTCGCAGGCTACACGTTGTTCAATATAGTAAACAGTACCGCATGATAGTACTGCTCAATAGCTTTCATTTGAATGGTCTTACAACAGAGTGTTAGGATTTCATACAGTCTTTAGTCATGACGTTGCGTATAACCGCTTATGGTTATACCCTAAGATGAAAGATTTAAGGTAGTCTTTCCATACAAAAGGATACCACTTTTTCGAATATTATTGATTGTATGGTATATTTTGATTTGTACAGTATGTGTAAGAAGTTCTTATTTATTAATAGCATTATGATTATATGAAAGCCTGAGACTTAAATTTAAGAGTTTATTTTAACAGGTCAAGATAACCTATTTACGATGTACTCTCTTTCATATTTATATAAACAATAGCCTTCATTTGCCGCGAAAATATGCTCGGATATTTGTCTGTGGACATAATCTGATGAAAATTGTGAGCTTCGAGGAACAGATAATGTCCACGGGCAAATATTTCAGCGTATTTTGAAAGTCAAATGAAGGCTATTGTGTTTATTATGCATCAAATATTCATGCAACACGCGGAATTTGAAAATTGAGGAATATCACTCGGATATTTCCCAGTTTTAACTGGGGCATACTCAGTCACGTGACGCGTTTAGACCAATCGCGTGTTAGCGAAATATTTGATGTATTTTAAATAAGGTATTTTCCTCAGCATCCCTCTCATTTAAATTAACTCAGTTCTGAAACAACTGTAAGGTTTGCATTGTATAGTCTTCAGCGAACACTGAAGTTTATCTGTTTCGTTATTTAACTTTCTTTTGTTTAAATCGTCATTACAGAAAATCAGTGGTTTGTTCATCGTTGACTGTTTGCTCGCGGGGAAGTTGTATCGCCACTTTTACATTTTGCGAAAAAATGTTGTAAAGTGTCGAAGAATACTCAGTTATTCCCGCCAAAGTAAAACCATTACTGCGCCTTTCAATAACATGCGGACTCTAGAATTCAAAGCTCAACCGAAAAATGCGTTTTTCGCTACCGTCAATCAAATGTTCGGCGGCTCCTCCCAGCTTCCGACTACTGTCGAGCACTGTTTCGTATCATGAGACTTCTTACTCAGTATGGTAACTATGGTTCGCTAATACGGAACCGCGCGCTCGGCAGTAGTCGGAAATGAAAGAGGACAGTGAATGAAAAACATAAATCATCGATAACATAAAAACGTCAAAGATATTTTGACGCTAGTTCTGGCGAAGCTCTAATTCCACACTGAGCAATCAGCATCCAGCCTTCACCGATTAAAAACACATGTAGATTTATTTAAGTCCCTAGATATTTATAATCAAGGTAACCTAGCCACCGTGGTTAATTTACCTTGTTAACTTCAAATTGATACATATTCAAGGGCCCGTCCACAACACGCCGGAGGAATTTAAAAACGCAACAATCGCCGATCATTTTGCATTTGCGTTTGAGGAAAACTCGGGCAGGGAAAATAAATTATAATCGTGACACCATCGTTTTCAAAAAGCTCTGTTGTCTACATGTTTTCCGTCAACACGAAAACGAAAAGCCGGCGTTTTCAATATCCTCCGGTTTGAAGAGCGTTTTCGAAAAGCTCCGTTTTCGCGACGGATTGGTGTGGACGGTAGATCTCACCGTAGAGGTAAAGCTGCGTTTTCAAATTTCTAAGGCGCAGTGTGGACGCCGCCTAAGTGTTTTATCACTTCCCGTTGTCGCAACCCAAAAGTTTCTTGAGAAACCAATACCTTTGTTTGAGCCCGCCTTGTTTAGTCGTGCGGTCAGTTTGTTTCGGGTCACGTGTCAAGTTGTGTCAAGTCGCAATGTTGGAAAGCTGCTGTATCATGGTAACTGTTAACCTGTTAAAACACTCTGAAAAAGGTGTAGTGAAGACTTAGAGAACTTAGAGAATGTAAATTTACGTTTCCAGAATAAACTTAATTTTTGGCGAAAGTGTTTTCCTATGCGTTCTTCTATCTTCATCCCCGAGTCATTACTGACACCTTGTTTTTCACTGCTCGTGGAACACGTCTTAACAATCAGATTGCACGACTTAGTTCATCTCGATGTAAGTACAATGATTGAAAGAGAATTTTTTCCTGTACAAATGTTTCTAAACAATGCATTACTATAGCAAAGTTTTGTGCCTGACGAAGGCATTTCCACGAAACGCGACCACTTCCTATAACTACCACTATTCCTTCACTATTTTCTTTGCGACAGTTTCTGGTTCGCGTACTGCATATCTTCCCCGATCAGGGTACACGCTCTATATACCGACGCATCTGATTGGTCGACGGTAGAGACATAAATTATATTCTGCTTGGTTATTGGCTACATCCTAGGAGCTACAACTCATCATGGTGCTGGACAGCAAAGTTGTACAGACTGTCCAAATCTCTTGGTCCGCGATACTCCTGCTTCTGAGTTCCTCTGCGAAACAGAATAAGCGTCGGGTAACCACTGATCTGCAAAGCACAGGGAAAGAGAACAAGTCAGCACAAAGCAAAAACGGTAATTTCCATGACCAGCTGGTTGTTGAAAGCACTACTAATTTAATCTGGGATTAGAAGGAACTTTCATTTCTGCAGTTTTATGAACTTCTCAGCGAAATTACTGGGTAGCATCTTTTTCGTGGTACTAAGAAGAAGCAAATTCTATACACATCGTAACACCTTGAAATATTTTCGCAAGGCAGCGATTTTCTCGACGATTCAGACCGCGAAATTAACCCAGCATTAAGTGTAGCTTTCGCATACTCTTGGGCTGACGTCAGCGGTTTATTCTTGTGCAACTCCCGAGTAGTGCAACTCCCAACTAAAAAGACTGATTTCGAAACAACTTACCCCAAAACTCTGACAAAGTTCAGCTTCTTCTGAGCAATCAACCTGATAGCAAGAAAAGGTCTAATTTACAAATAAGAAATCCTACAAGCAGCAAGGCCTAAGATACATAAGCTCCCTTGATCACACTGATCTATCGCTTCTAAATTGCTGCTTGTGGCGCAATCAATGTTGTAATTTTATTATGAGATACTGGACACTCTAGCAAGACTTTAATGCAATGTGAAGGTTAAGGCTCAAAGCCAACTTAAAACCTGCCCTGCCATGCCTTGTGATACATAAGTTCTGAAGATGTCTTTTCACAAGAGCCCCAGTAGTTCAAAGGCTACATAAAGCTGTCCAACGGATAAATCGCTATGCAGTGCATAGGATATCTGATACTTTGACAACTAAAAATAGTGTCGTTTTGTCCTTAACACCCTGAGTGAGACCAGAATCTTTGATTTAAACCCCTAAGCGACACGACCAGCATCCCCGGCCTTTTTATATAGGAGTTCCCCCACCTCCGGGCTGCGTCTATCATCGGTTGCTTGTTTTGCTTCGAATTCTGATTGGTCCAGCACGCCTTTAACATTTGCTCTGATTGGTCAGAAGAGATTACGTTGGTTTTGCTCTTGGACTATGGCATTGGCAGTCATTACAAATCGTTCATCGCATTTTTTTTCAGCAAAATAGGATATTGGAAATAACTCACGAACCTTAGCAATTCTTGGTCCAGACGCCCTGTCCGCGCATTTGTTTGCCAACTGGTCCCAAACTGGTGAGAGCTTTTGACAATGGATACACCTGTGAATACAAGAACAAAGTCGCAACTACAAATCATCAAGTTTTTTTTTTTTATCAACAAGCCATTTCTAAGTTATCCTGTGCCTCTGTTTCAAAACGAGTCCGTGCAAAACCTTTCATATGAGAATGAGTTTGAAACTGAACCTGGAGGGGCACATATTCTCATATGAATGGTTTCGCACAAATACTTGTTATGACGCAGAGGACCGTCATGGAGGCAAAAGGCAACTCGGAAGTGGGCAAGTGATTGACCAACCCGTTTATACACCCATGCCGTTCTTCATGCCACTTATTTTGGCTGGAACTAATGCCTAGTAGTCAATTTTTTTCTCAAACTCATAAATAATTCATCAAGTTTAAGCAAAGGAAATTATGACCGTGACGGTGTTTGGATATCTGATCTTAATCAGCAGAGACTTTTACGATTTAATTCCCCGTTTTCTCCTTAGTTTTAGTTTCGATTGCGAAGATATATCAAACACTCAAAACAGTGTTTGACCACATTTCCAAACACCTCGAAGTTCGTTAAAAATACTCCGCTGCGCGTCGCATTTTCAATTCCCTTCTCGGTGTTTGGAAATGTGGTCAAACACTGTCTTTCGTACTTGATATACTACTTCAAAATTTGAAAACCCCTTAAATCAATGACAACCTTTTGGAGTCCTCTTGCTAAATTGTCTTTATCCATTCACCCAGAATATGACCATTTGAAATGTCTGATGAGATACGCCAATACAATTTTTATACAGTATTTCAACTTACCAAGGGACATAAAATTCAACAAATGTTGTACCAACACTGACCATGGCATCAAAGTTGCTGTCAGTTAGCTGGAATGGTTTAATCTGAAAGTAAATCAAACCAAAGGTAGAAAATGCAACAGTTTAACCTTTTTGCAGGCTTTCCAACTGCTCAAAGCGTTAGGAAATAAAGAACAAATATAAAAGCCTGGTTCTTGTTTAGTACATAGCTTGATCCAAAGAAGGGAAAACGTTTTGATGATCCAAAAGTAATGAATGCATGCCTGTGGTTTCAATTTATGCAAACATTCAAATTCTCCCAGACTTTCTTAAGTTTGCATCGTGGTATGCAAACAAATGCACCAGTTTCTATCTTAATTATGTGGCTCCGGAAATTTCCTTACCTACCCAAAGAGGGTTATTGGAAATTTCAAGGGGGAGGGGGGTGGCGGTCTCACA